TGTCGTACCAGGGCATTTGAGGGCTTCTACTCACTTACAAATGTCTAGAATTTCATGTTACTACTGATACTTCAATCAAAATAAACAGATGAAAATCTTTTATCTTTAAAAATAAAACAGTTTAATATTGTTTCAATCATTTTTTTATGATGAATATTGTTTTAATTATTAGTAATTTTTTAAAAAGTATATAATAACTTGAATCCGGTAATGATTAGGTCATTCTCATCAATTCATTTCAGTAACAAGATACATTGACTTCTTTTAGGATTCAAATTTTCATTAGTTAATTGCTGCGATTATCATTATGATTATTATGTTAACAGTCATTATTTATATTCCAAATTGACCATAGCTGACTAAAGTAATTATGTAAAATGAATTCAATTCAATACATTAGTACATAGTTGTAGTAGAAGAATTTATTAGTTGTACTTTCCCCCATTGAAACAAACACTTGATTTAATCATCCATTTCTTTATACAAAAAAAAAATTCTAAACTTTTAGGTCATTTTATGAATGTAACCTTCGATATCTGATGCTAGAATGAAAGACTTCAATAGTTTTTTTCTTTACAAATAATGTATGACATTATAAATTCACTTAGTACTGTTTGTTTGGATCTTCCCATCGATGTGTTTAGGACTGCACTGGTCAGTCTCTATGACATTATATTTTATTGTATTCATGTGATGAATTTCCTAATTCTCACTTTTTATTTTGTTTTATACTTTAACAGGAAAGAAAACTATGGAAGATTTATTAAGATTGTTTCATTTTAAAGACAATTAAATAAAAGAGCAATCAGTAGAAAACATTAGTAATAAATTTCATTGTATTTTAAGGTCAAAGAAAAATGTCCTTGTTTATAGATATACAATATGAATAACCGGTACAATTGCAGAAACTGTTCATCCTTTATGAATACATGAGAAAAAAAAAAGTTCAGTTCATACTCATAAACAATAGTGATATATTTATAATATATAACTTTTTCGGCAAAACGACTTGAACTAAGCCACTGGAGAGATTGGGATATTGCAAATATATCATCATTTTTTTTATCATTAACAATATACCTAATGTTTGATTTATTTAAAGTTGACAAATCAAACCTTGAAACTAGACCACCATGGAAAACCTGGAAGCACTGGACGGCCGTCTCATCCTATTATGGGACTCCTCAGCAGTGCGCATCCACGACCTCGCCTCGCGAGATTCGAACCCAGGACCTATCAGTCTCGCACACGAGCGCTCAACCACTAGACCATTGAGCCGGCATCCAACAGTGTTAATGTCTAACTTTAACCGGTCTACGGAATTGACCGACAGTATCAAAATTATTATAATATCCACAAAAGCACTTCTCATAAAAATCAAACCTTGACAATGATAATTACAAGTTCAGTTCATGCATTTCAAAAGTTCGCAAAATGATAAGCGTAGGATGTAATTTGAACGATGTAAACTGGAAGTACCTCAATAAAGTAAGTATTCATTTGTAATACCTTTTGAATATTCAGTGGACTGATGTTTAGAAGTACAACGTTCATTTAGGAAAAAAACTATGATATTCATTCGCCATAGGTATATATTAACACATTTTATTAAGCTTTCATAAAGTCACTTCTACAGGTTACATACAAAATGGTTTACAGAGACTGAAGTGAGCTACGTAAATAAAAGCGCAAAAATGCTTATATGAAGTTAATAATTAACTAGAACGCAATTTTAAAAATTCATATATATGTACAATCACAAGTAAAACTTTTTACGATCTTATCAATCACTTTTTTTTAGGAAAAATCTAACAATCAACCACTAATCTCCATTTACCCATATATACATAGTTACTATATACAACATCCAGTACAAACAATCTTAGTAACATAGATTTTCAAAGTATGAAATTACTATCCGAATAACCCATTCATCTCCTTTTACTACCTATTACTACTACTACTATACAAACATGTTGAAGCGTGAACATGTTATTTCCTGTTAGGAAACATGCTTCATCAGATCACATGATATTCAATATGAAGAATAACCCTTCACTAGGTTTAGCAATCCAAATATTTTAAAATAGTTTATTGTAGTGATTGACTGACTGATGATATCAACCGCAGAAACATGTGAAATTATACTACAAACGCTGTTTTTGTTTCGTGATGCAAGCTGTTAGTAAAATGAAATAAACTCTCTCAAATAACTTGAATATGTAATTTTGTTAAATAAATCATTAACCAAATACAATTTCATGAATTAACTGTGCATTGAGTCAAAAAATTTTGGATGTGAGAAGTACTAATATATATGTGGTTGCCCAAATTGAGGTAGCAATATTGAGATTCTAATATGGAACTCAGTGGCTTATTTACAATTCCTACAATAATATTATGCCACATTTAATATTACATAATTAAAATTATTAATGACCATCACCAGTTATATGCATACTGAATTAATGCCAAAATATTATTTGAAAACAGTATATATTAGTTACAAATGGTTAAGATATTAGACTTTCAATCACTTTGTCTCAGTTTCGAACCATATTTTATCTACTTCGGTTTGAGCAACCAGTAGTATCATTAGCCCTTATATCTAGAGTGTGGCTCATAATCAAGTACCTGATGAATGGGTCTATTTGTTTATTACTTTTAATATACATTTTAATTGGAAGCATTCAAACAACCAATAAATGAACATCCATCTTCTTTTGTCATTTCTAGTATTACATACTTTTCATAGATTACTTGAGCCTCGTTTGACTGGAGGACCAGATGACATTATTTTTGTCTTATTTCTGAATCATGAATCGAAAAAATATGTCATCATAGAAGTTCTTTAGTAAATCGTACGCTCAGTAGATATGAATAGTCATTCAAAACAATTTCGTAAAGAGAAAAAGTCAACACAATATTTTAACGTATAATTGTATAATTTGTCCAGAAATCAAAACAGATCGGAGACCGATTTACATAATATCGTTAACTACTAAAGAATCCTTGAGAATTCGTATCTCTATTATATTAATTATAAATTAAGTAAGCTCATATATAACTGTCAAACTGAATGCTTCAAAATCAATCAGTTTAAAAATAAGCTATTTTATCAAAACCACATGATATCTAAATATACACAATTAATAATTAATCATCACCCTTACTATATATAATAAATAGAAAATAAACAATTTATCTTTATAGTTGAATTCATTAGTCAATTAAAGCTAGACCACAATGGAAACACTAGACGACCGTTTCGTCCTAGTATGGGACTCCTCAGTAGTGCAAATCCACGATCCCCCCTCGCGAGATTCGAACCCAAGATCCATCGGTCTCGCACGCAAACACTTAACCTCTAGACCACTGAGCCGCCATTCAACGGTGTTAATGTCTAACTTCAACCAATCCACGATATTGAGCGATACATCCACCATTGCCCTCAGTAAGTTACTATCTCATAACAGGCCTGATTGAACTCTACTGGTCACTACTTTTCACTGGAACTCCAGGAAATACCTCCTGAAGCAAGTCACTAGTGAGCACATGTTGATTATTTTCAGGTGTTTTGTGGAGATTTTAATAAATATATAGTCGAATTCATGAGTCAATTAAAGCTAGACCACTATACTAGGACGAAACGGCCGTCCAGTGCTTCCAAGTTTCCCATAGTGATCTATTTTTAATTGACTCATAAATTCAACCATAAATTTATTAAAATATTCACAAAATCCTTTCTGATAATTTGTCTTTAGACAATGATTATTACTATGCTAAACTAATTATACAGTCTAATTAATTTGTAACAGTCATATATTCTTTAATAAATTACTATATGAGTAATAGTAAGGACACTAATCTAAATAACAAAAATGTGACTATTTTTTTCAGTAGTGAACACTTTCTTCTTACAAAGAAAATGCTTTCTTTTCATATCATACTAGGTTGGATAAAAGCCAAGTAAAGAAAATAAGTCTTCTATTTTCTTTTCATCTTATATAAATGCATACATGTTATAGTGTAGGAGGTTATAAATTAAATCATAACGGTATATCAGATAGGAATCGTTTAGTAGTCATATTGATAATCAAATGGTTTGAATTATTTTTTCTGGTTAGCGTTTTTTTTAGCGACTTAGTTTTTCTACGGGATGGGGTCGCTAACCCCATGTCCAACCCTCCTCCTTTACCCGGACTTGGGACTGGCAGTAACTCTAGAAGAGCTACAGGCAGATATGAAAAGGATGAATAACAACTAGAAAGAACTGGAAAAAACTGCCCAAGACAGGGTTGGATGAAGGATGCTGGTATGAGGTCTATGCTTCTCCACGAGGGCTAACAGGAGTAAAGGTCAAAGTTTATATTGGCAATATTTATTATTCTTAAAAGTTTATCACTTATTTATCATTGGTAAACGTTTCCTAACAAAATAATATGATGGTAGCTTTTTTTAATAGTGAAATTATAATATTGTATATGACTTAACGAAATTTTGATAATATTAAATAGTTGTTTAAATGTTAAAGTCATTTGTAAAAAAAAGATACCTAACTTTATATAATCAATTTGTTACAGTTGGTTATTACTTATCAACAAGAGTTATTGACAATTCCAATTTAAATAGTTGAGATCATGAATCACTTGAAGCCAGACTGCCATGGAAAACCTGGAAGCACTAGACGGGCGTTTCACCCTATTGTAGGATCCTCAGCAGCGCGCATCCACGAACCCGCGTTATTCGAACCCAGGACCTACCAGTCTCGAGCCAGAACCCTTAACCGATAGGCCACTGAGCTAGCATCCAATGGTGTTAATGTTTAACTTCAACTGGTCTAGCTTCAATTGACCCATGCTTTCAACTATGAAACATACTAAATCTCCACAAAAACCCCTTCTGATAAATAGTATTACACTAGATGACCTTTTTTAATGAAAAAAAGAAACAATCCGCATACAGAAGAATGAAAATAAATATACTACTTAAGAACTCACCAAGTATCTTTATCATGATGTACAAGACCTGATAATTGATCTCCGGTGAGACTTTCACCTGAAACACCTTGTTTCTTAGTGCGTAATTTGTCTGCAGACATTTGTTGTCCAATGTTTTCAGGCATACCAGTTGCATTTAATGTAGATGTTATTCCGGTTACATTTAACGTATTTTGTTTAATTGTTTGACGTGATGTATCGGATATTGGTGTAACGGGATAGATAGGTAGTTGTGCCACATTATTATTATTAAGTTTTTGGTCTAAAACTGATTTCAATTTGTCAATATCTCTGTCTCGAGCGTTTAAAGTGATTCTTGTTTGACTCAATTCTTGTTCAAGCCATCTTATGTGATCAGTGTATCCTCGAATATCTTGTCGTAATCGTTGAATTAAGTTGAGTAATTCTTCAGGTTCATAGCTTTTACCATCTAAAACTAGTGTATGTCCAGAAGTTTCAGATTGATTTGCTTTAGCTGAACTATTAAAATTAACATTATTATTCCCAGTTCTAGAAGCGATTGGAATCATAGATCCCAAACCCGGTACTGTTGATGAGTGGATATAACCTACAGGATTCGATACTTCAGTATGTGGAAGTACTGGAATATTTTGTACAGGTTTCATTGTGACTGAACTTATTGGTTGAGTCATCAATGGTAATTCCTGAGTTTGGGGTTGCTTATTTAAATAGTTAGTGCTTTGATCGATTCTACTATCAGCAAAACTTCCAATTGGTTCTTGATTTTGTCTGGGTATTTTAAAGTTTTTTAACAATGTTGGTTGATCAACAGTGATGAATTGACTTGTTTCAAAATCTGTTTTTATAGTCTCAGTTGTTGTGTGCAGAGTTGTACAATTAGTCAGTGGTAGAGAATTTCCACTTAAATTTGTTAGTACTGTTGCATCCAATTTTATACACTTCTTTGCCAGACAGTGTTCGCAGTTATCAGAATATAGATTGGTATTATTATTATTATTATTATTATTATTAATATTAGTATTATTATTTGTATCTATATTTGGTTGTAGATTGATAGTTACTAGTTGTGGAGAATAATAACGAGATGAATCGCTGACTGACTGTGATAAATATTCCAATGCATTGGTTGGGTATTGGCTCCATCTTTTTGCCTGTATATTATCAATTTCTTGTTGGCCTAATGTGGCCCTTCTTCGTCTATCTATATTTGACAGTGTTATTGATATTTACGTAGCGATTATTGTTATTTATGACGTTGTACTAGGTTATTAAGTTCAGAAATAGTTGTGCACATATATATTTCTATAATTCCTGTGATAAATTTTTTTTAATTATAATATGACTCATTGACAATAAGGACATGAAGATTCATTTATCAAGATCTCATCATTGAGTATTGGTATATGATAGAAATAGAAAAATCTAGGTTTGTAATCAATTATAATTGGCTGACTTGGTTAACATAAGCAACACATAGGATAAACTTATTGTTATCTGGAAATATAACTTGAATTTATGCAAAAATCCAACTGGTGCATTGGTGAACAAACACGAATCTGTTTATGTTTAAGCACGCACATACACACACACACACATGTAAGTAACAATGGTCGTAAACACACAAACAAAGAAAATGAATCCTATTTTTAGTACGGTATTTTATATGTTGTCTCCAGATTGTGAATTACTCGACGTTTATGTAAATTGATAAGATGATTAAAACCAGTGTGAAGATGATAATCCCATTGTGATTACGGTTATATAAAATACACATCAAAATTCAGTAGTTGCTCCATAGATCTGAGAAAAAAAAAAGATTACCATAAGGGTTAGCAGAAAACATCACTATAGTAAAACTAACCAACAGGATGAATATGTCATATAGAATGACATTCTATTGAAAAATGAATTCTCAGTTAATCTATCCACCAATAAACGATTTGTAGTGATCTAGACACACAAAATTTGATAAAGTATGTAAAGATCAATATAACCATAATGAAATTTTAAATAACCAATAAAAAAGGTTTATATTTAATAGATGTGCACTTAAACAAATTATGTCATTTAGTTGCTATGCTATTTTTAAACGTGATTTTCCATCTGTTTCATGAGTTTTACCATCTAGTTCAGGATGTTATAAGGATATCCGATTAGGAATCATGTTAACTCTCTCTTATTGGAGAACAATTTTTTTCCATTTGAATTTTATAATTCAGTTTAATCATTTTCTCCTATTTACAGACTATTATTATTATTAGTGACTTTATTCAATATTATATTTTTGGTACAACATAGAATTCTCAGCACAGTGTTCCAACAAGTTTCCTATTCTTATTTCATGATTGATCCTTTCGATAAACATTCAATGGTCGCCAGTTAGATGTTAGCAGTTCAGTAATCGACATCTGAATAATGTATATTCTTTTCGATGTATATTGCCAACAATCACGATGTCTCTTGTTGTGCTCTCTAGTAACTTGTACAGCGTAACGTTGTAAACTTTTCACAAACGCACCTGAATAGGTTATGAGAGTAATAGGCATAATGGTATGTTAAAACAGACAAGAAAAAGCATAACTTGTTGAAATATCCAAACGACCGGAACAGGTAGCTCAGATAGTCAAGCAGTTTGTCGATCAAATATTAAATGATTGACATTATAGAATAAATTTAGTTACATAACCAATTAAAATCATTTAAAGCAATTAGTCCCTTTGATAAATTTCGATAATGTAATGAGAAGACGAAGATTATCAGAAAATCATGTGCTGTACAGTTGTGTTTTTTAATGTAAAACTCCACCAAAGAATGAATTTAGTATATTTAGACATAGTAATGAATGAATTATTTCTAAACTATTAAGTTGGTATTCAGTGATTTACATTTCTAACTTCAATCAATTACAATAATCACAAAGGGGTTTTGTGGAGATTTTAGTAATTTTATATAGTTAAGATCATGAGTTCATTGAAGTTAGACCACCCTGGAAAACCTGGAAGCACTGGACGGCCGTTTTGTCCTATTGTGGGACTCCTCAGCAGTGTGCATCCACGATCCCGCCAGGTTTTCCAGGGTGGTCTAGCTTCAATTAACTCAGGATCTTAACTATATGCAATTACAATAAGTTATATATTGATATTTCCAGGTATTTATTTTATGCAAACAAATGTACATTTTGAGAAAATGATATTGTTATGAAGTTGATTTTCATCATTGAAATTATAATTAAATACTCAATTATTATATGGCTACTCGAAACTTGATAAATCCGAATAGATCCTGATTTTAATTAAAAGAAATAGGACTAGTTTGAGATTATTAAACACAATCGCAATACAACAATGAACAATTTCTTCTTACAATTCAATAAACTCAAGTAGATTAATTATTAAACTTGATTGACTAAATGACTTTGATGGAGTTTTGTTTGGTCGTGGAGCTTTCATAGTCCTTCTGAACGACATTATCAGCACAAACTTCGGGTAAAAGTGAATTGTTCGAATTTCTCCACATGTGGTTCACAGCTTGTCCTGTACATACCATATGAATGACCTAGATTTATTTTACAAAAACAAAACAAAACATATTGGATCAAATCGCTTTCAAAATTCTCTAGACTAAAAGCGCACATAGTATTTAAATTCTGATTATAATGTACACAGTATCGATTATACGTATTCACTAATGAAGAAAATATTAAAAAATAAAATTATTAGAATAATGCAACAATATCTTCCGATAGAACAATTAGAAGACGGAGTTGACCTGAAAAGTGTGATATATTTGTGCGATACATTTCGAAATATATACAACAATAGTGTGATGTACTTGCAGGATCGAAAATAGATTTGAAGTAATTACCACTATTCTATGCGTTAAGCTCTCAATCCTTATTCAGTAATCAACTATACTAGTAAATGAGAGATGAATTAATTAAGCATGAAATTAAATAATTCACTAAAAGTTCTGATGATGATTTTTAAATGGAATTAGGGACTTATTATGAATTTGATAAATTTAACTAATATATACCCACCGCTATAGGCGGCCTGAGTGAACATCTGGGCTACCTGTTCCTGTCATCTAGATATTTCAACAAGTTATCTAATTTTGTTTGTTTTAATACATCATTATGGCTATTAATCGCATAACCTATTCAGGTGCATTTCTGAAAAGTGTACAACCTTTCGCGCTAAAGGTTACAAAATGCCTAATCAGAGATATCGTGTTTGTTGGTAATATGTAACGAAAAGAATGTACAATATTTAGATGTCGATTGACCAGACTGCTAACATCAAACTGGCTACCACTCAATATGTTATCGTGAGGATCTATCAAGAAATAGGAAACGTAAACTTTTTGAAACACATTGTGCTGAGAATTCTATATTTTACCAAAAATATAATATTGAATGAAGCTAATGATAATAAAAAAATTACAATTAACATGGTAACTTTCTGAATTGCATTGGATTTTGATTTCATACTATGTGAACTGTTCTAGTAGTGAATAGTGATAAATCACAGCTGGCAAATTATAACCATGTAGGTAAGTCATTTTAGAAATATGTGTAGAATTTGATAAAGTTGACATAATGTGAATTTGTTTTAGTAAATATTTCATTAATTAAGTTGATTCTCGTTTGTGAATTCTACTCCATCTAATCAGTCAATTACATTAGTATTACCCTTGATTTGAGAGTTAAACTAACTCTGTGCACAGCTATACTTGTCTTATTAATAAAGTGACATTTTTAATCTTGATAATTGAATAAATAAATGTTAGTTTCATTAGAAAATACTGCATGATACTATCTTAATTAAAAGCACTATGGCGCTTTGCATGTAGGGCCTGCCTGACACAGTATTTGCTTTCATTCGGGCCATTTAATTAAAACGTTTCTCAACCTTTGCATTAAATTGATAGCAAAGAGATAGATTTGTATTTCATTCCATCCAATTACAATTAAATCCAATTTAAAATGTTATAATGGTTATGCAAGCACATTGATGGTAATTTCATTACTTTAGGTGAGAAAAAGAGGATTTATTGAAAGTAATTGATATCTTCATCAAGATTCATTTAAACTTAAAGTTTATGATGAATCCTAAAAACAACGGCTATCCTAATTCTTTTGATGACATCATGAGATGAACTAAATTCATCAGTGTCATCCAATGACGGGATCAAATTAATTTGTTTGATCAAATTTCAGCGTAGACTAGTTAGAACATCCTTTAATAAAGTAAGAAAAAAAAGTAATTTATCTATAATTAAGATCATGAATAGAAGTTGTCTTATATTTGAATTTATTAAGTTTTGTTGTTGAAAACATGAATAATTAGAAAATCGATTGGATAATCAAGTTACAACAACATAAAAGAAAGAAAATATTAAATATATTTTTGTTATATCCTAATGAGTAGAAGAATTGTGTTCACAATTGATTGATCACTGGGTGGTGATCAATGTCATGCGTGTCAAGTCCTTCTTAGCACTGATCGAATGTTATCGATCAGATTGCAATGTGGCCACTAGTCTAAGTGGCTAGACACTGCGTGAACTATGCTGAGATAAGATGGTGCTTGGAGGTGGTAACACGGGATCGAATCCGTCAGGGAGCACCAGTTCCCTCAAGATTACAGGTACACCTTGCTGACGAGTGCCAAGTAGCATGAAACCCGGGTCCAGGGTTTCCTGTTGACCACCTCCCACCACCATCTTACCGCAAGAATAATTGTGTTTCTGACGTTTCATGATTTAATGTAAGCCACTTCTTCAGAGTAAGTAAATAATCGAAATTAACACAAGTCTAAATAGTACAAAGGAAACATTGCAAAGTATTTTTAGCATAACCAATGCCAAGTAGTTTCTGGTCAAGGTGAATTTGTATAGCATGTCACTGTATTAATTTGGGTAAGAATGTGGTTACAAAAAATGAACGCATTTGTGATATGAAGTAGTGGGTTGAGATTGTGTGTTCGTGTGTGTAAAACTAATAAATAAGGTCAAATATTATTGTTTGGACAAACAGTTCAAGCCTTCTTTCCTATTGAGGGAAGAGGGATTTAGTATTATGTGAAACGCTTCGGCTACTCGCCCCTCTTTGTAGTCGCAATAGCCTTTCTGATTTATTTTAACATTTTAAATATCAATTTTGGTGATTATTGAAAATACCATGTACTTCTATTTCTGATTTAACCTGTAAATTTCCCAATTCTATAGGATTATTAGGTGTTTTTGTGTAACTTAAGACTCTTCAATACAAAACGCATAACAATCGACACGACCTAATCTGTAGACACAGTTTTGTGTAGAAGTGAACGGAATTTTATCTCTGATTCTAAGTAAAGCGTTTCTTTGAATGTTAGTCATTTTATTGAAAGCCTTAATTTTGTACTTTTTTAGTATCCCTTGTAATTCTTTTGTCGTACCTTGGTGGTAAGGTAAACCTACAGTACCAATCCGAGAAATTTCACTAGGATTGTTATTTACAGAATGACCGTTTTGTTTTAATATGTCTTTAATATTATTTTTCAGGATAATTATTATGATGTAGGATATTTATCATATATTTTTTTCCTTTCAGCTTATCTTCTGAGGTAATAATTCTAGTTACTCTTCTGAAAAGATTCAGGGCTAGGTAAATTTTCGCACTGAATGGATGTACAGAGTTAAAATCAATACATTGATTTGAATATGTCGGTTTTCGGTATATGGCTAGATCTAGACTTTCGTTAAGATCCCTTTTAACTAAATAGTTTGAAAAAGGTAGTTCACTACGTTCATCTTTTTCGAAAGTGAATTTGGTGTGTTCCGAGAGGGTGTTTATGTGTATGAAAAAATTTCTAAGAAGAGTCTTTTTACTAATGGCAAATGTATCACCTACATATCTGAGCCAGATGAGTGGTC